TTTCAAGGAACCGCTAATGCAACCGGCAAGAACCTGAAATAGGATATGTATACTTGCTTAATGCTTCATTTTATAGTAAGTGACAAACTAAGAATTCACACTCCTTCAAAAGATTTGGTTGGATATGAGCTGACTTACATCATTGTGGCCACCAATATATTTTGTTGCAGAATGCACAACAAGATCAGCCCCAAGGGCAAGGGCTTTCTGATTGAGAGGTGTGGCAAAAGTGCCATCTATACAGACCAAAGCCCCTTTTTTATGACAAAGTTCTGAAACCAACTTAATGTCAACACACCTGAGGAATGGATTAGTAGGAGACTCTGTGAAGAAAAGAGAAACCTACACCGAAGTAAGTTCCACAAACAGTCAGGATCACCAATGATTTGCTAAGTTATAGTGAACTTCAAAAAAGCAAGGTAAACACTTTTTCTACTGACTTTGTGCTCATTCAATGCAGACTCCAGGGCTTTCACATCAGCAGGGTCAATGATCGTGGCCTGCATATAGGATGATAGGTATTAAGTATAAGCACTAACAAAAGCAATACCAGGAATTTGAAAACACCAACATCATGTTACTCTAAATTGATGATAACAGTAAGCTTTACCGTGATCCCCATTTTGGGAAGAATGGTCTCGATAAATATCCTAGTCTTCCTATAGCAATCTGTGGTGGTCACGATATGCCCACCAGCTGGAACCAATGCCATCAACATTACTGTGCTAGCACACATTCCAGATGCCAATATCATTGTTGACTCCGCTCCCTCAAGCGCACTGTATTATCACAACAACATTCAATAGATAGATGCCAACCACAAACAGGTTTTAGATACAAACGAGAATGAAAGACATGCAAACCTGATCTTCTCCTCAACAACCACTGTCGTTGGATTTCCATAGCGCCCATATTCAAAACTTGTTGCACGTTTCTCCTGCAACAAGGTAAAGGATAATAAGCTAAAGCAACACAAAACATCAATCACCAAGAACCCAATATATAAAACACTTAACTTTGTTGTCTTATCTCTTTAAGTTTCAAACTTTTGCAGGTTCGAGTGTTGTGTGTGGTTTGGTGTCAAATTATAATATGCGCAAAGCATGATTTGCATACCTTGAAATCAATGAGGTCACCCGTTTTCTTAAAGAAGTAGGCAGAAGTATTAACCACTGGGGTTGTAATTGCATCAGTAACTATGCCGCGACCCAATCTTTCACCTTCAAAAAAAACAAAAAACAAAAACCCCAACGGTAACTCACAGGCTAATCTCCACATAATCAGAAACAAATGAGCTTCTTAAATGTAATATCAAGCCAAGCAGCCAAGAATAATTTTTAAAAACCTAAAAAACTACAAATAATTTTATAAAAATAATAATAACGAATACAAATTCTCGAAAATGCAATTTGACTAATTTACCAGCATGAATCGCAAGGCTTCCATCGGAGCTTAAGAACGAGGCCTCCTTCAAATCAGGCAAGGCCTCCAACTGTACATCATTTTCAAACACCGCCTCGTCACCACCGGCCGAAAGCTTGGCCGGATCGACTGGAATGGCGGCGGTGGCGGCGGCATCGACGGCAGTAGCCGACGGCGCCGCCGGAATGCCTGAGTTGGAGTTGTTGTTCGACCACGAAGCGGCGACGATCTGTGCGACGCCGATGTTGCTGCAGTTCCTCCGGGCCTTTGTGCTGAGCTGGCGGACGAAGTTGGGAGGAAACCTAAGGATGAGAGAGGAGAGGCCGTGAAACGGCGCCGTGGCGTCGATGCGACCCGCGAGTCGTGGGCGGGGGCCGGGTTGGGAGGAGGTGAAAACCCTAGGAGGACACGTGCAGACGGCCATGAGTGACGGTGGATCGGGTGGCTCTCGGGTTTGGGAATTTCCTGGTGTCAAACGTCTCTCTTTCAATTGACGAGGTTAGCTTTTTCTGTTTGTGTCTTTGGAAGAAATGGAGGGTCAATTATTGACCCGTTTTAATACGCGCCTTTTCTTTCGTAATTTTTATGATTTTTAAGCAGAAAATTAACTAGCTTGGGTCCAGTTGGCTTAGTGGCCGACGTGGGATCTGACCAGCAACATATTTTTGGTCAGAAAATACCAAATTTACAGATCATATTTTACGCCGCATGCGATGCGATCATGAGAGTCACTTTAGATTTAGAACAACTCCCCAAATTTTTAAATCACGAATTTGATTACGATCAGATAGTGAATTAACAAAGTATTATTAGATCATTAGCAACATAGTTTCTGGTAATGAATTGAAATGGAAAAATGGGAATTCAAACTTGGATATCTTTTATAAGAAAATTAAACGTACCTAAATGTTGGGTACAAATTCTTGATGCATATAGAATTTGCCGTATCTTTATTTTGCATAAAATGGGTACTGTAATTTATTTCTTATGCATTTACTAATATATGGATATAAAATCATTTCACTTGTAACTTTTCATGCCTTTATTAAAAAAAATTAAAAAATATTATGTGAGTTTCATATTAAAATCTATAATATAATAATTGAAAAACAATGAACTATTAGTAAATAAAATAAAATAACATAGCATATCAATCGAGAGTCAATGTTGATCCAATTGCATGGCTTCGTCTTGACCTAGATATTTAATGATGATAGGTGATGACCGTGTATACTACTGTTATGTCTGCTCGCTTCAATTAAATTATTGAATGCATGTATGGTATGGGAAATGCAATTTAAATAATGTACTAAATTGGTAAATGTGGCCCACTTGGTACAGCTTAGTCGCTAGAACTTATGACAACGTTTGACAGGGGTTAGTCTTCAGCAACCTAACCGGCCGATTCGGCCTAACGAAGGCACACACGTGGTAGCCCCTCGGGCGATGTTCATTGAAACTACAACCCAATGTGCTTCATCATTTTTGTCAATAAATACGGCTCTTGCCCTATTGGTAATAGTAACTTGACATTATAATTCTTACTTTGTCTAATTACTTATCTTATTCTTAAGCTAACTTAAGCATCAAAGAGCCCGGTACCACACCGATACTTAAGGCCTTATCTTTGTTATGCTCCTCCTTTTAAATTTATTCGTATGACCCATGCGACGAAAGGCAGATCACTTCTAAGTTGGTTCCATTTTTGAACATCAACAATTAGTTACTCTTTTATATATATAGAAAATCCGAGTAAAGAATATGGGTACCAAATGGGACTAGAATCCGAAGAAGAAAAAATCAAGGAAAATGTAGTGGAGAGTAAGAATAATAGCCACACATAATAGAACCATGCCAAATTGTCAAATTGTGTGGGGGCTTAAGCTTGCACTATAATAAATGGCATGTTAAATGTTGCTTGGCCATATAGGGTCCCTCTTGGAGTTTTGTGCTTAATTGACAAGGAGAGCTTGAGACCTAATTTGAACTTACTCACAAAATAAAACAAAATCAACAAGTAAAAGTTGTGATGCCAAAATTAAAACAATGAACTTTTATATAATATAGTTGATTTAGAGTGAAGTATAAGCCTTGTATTAGCAAACAAAACCCTTGTATATTTCTTCGAAGATTGTTCATGTGCCAAAGAATTGAAAACATCTTGTAGCTAGCTACACTTGTATTCTATTCTACCAACCCACCAGAAAAGAAAAAGAAAATGGCATTGGCAATTTGGCAATTTGGCATGGGTGGGTTGGTAGACAATGGAATCTTATCTCGTACCCATTGGTCGGTTTGTCTTTTTTATCTTTTGTTTGGAGGTCTCATCTCATGCATATCAACAATAAATTATTAAGATGGTAGAAATGATGCTTCTTTATAAAACCACTAGTTTTTTTTGTTTTTCGTTTTAAATTATAACCACGACGGGAACGAAGAATAGAAAGCTCACTAAACGCCGCTGTCGTAGCTAAACCCGAATCACACAAATCGGCCTCACAACTCGTGCAATGAATAAATAAAAGCTCGCTGAGTTGAAAAGGATTTAACTCATTACATTTTTTGTTTACAGTTAATCTCATCATAATCGTTCTATCAACCATTTTACACTTTCAAAACTTATCCCTACTTACCAAGTACGCTTTCAATATCTAGCTGAGAATCGAAGTTGGGGCAGCACTCTCCAAGTTGACAACCCAACCAACCCGTTGCCCACCATTGTTTCCAAATGGATTGTGCATTACCTTTATGTCTACTAGTGTACCTACTGATAAAGTACAGGCCTCCAACAATCAAATTTGTTTTTTCCGTCGAGTGAAGTTACTGCAGTGGTTGTGGCCCTCTTCTTTCCTCATGCTTGGTACTCAGGATCGAAATCGTTTCTTTCCTTCCTATTATCGACCAATGACACCATATATGTCAAATGGGGGTTCATTTATTTACAACAATTATTTATCCCATAAATTTTATGGCTCGGACTAAAACTAACGAATTATTGCTATGATTTTAAATCTTCTTTATTTTGTGATAAGATACTTATTTATTCTCAATCTTTGTTTTGGACAATAGCTCATATACGTGCAAACGATTGTAATCTATTGATGTATGCAAATCCTAACCGTTAGATTCGCTCACATCAACGCTTCAATATATCAGCACAATGCACACACACGTAAATGATTGTTGGGAGCCTCTATAATGAGGGTAATAGTGATGGAGTTCAATCCAACAATCCAATAATTACTCTACACTTGATCGCATGGCTATTAACAACTCCCTCCCTATTCCCCCTAATTGTAGCCTCCCTCGTTATTAGCATAATCACTCTCGCTTTTGGAAGCCCAATGTGTAGCCCGTAATTATGCATTAAACCCACACACTTGGTGAGAGGCCCAAATCTGTAATGAATGAGTATGTCTATTACAGAAACATGAATGAGCCCACTATTGGCCCACGATATTTCCGCTACAACGAAAATTCATTCCTAACCATCCGATTCCGCCGCTTCTCTCGCCGACCGTTGGATAACGCGGTTTCTTTCCCAAAAACAAAAAGAAAAGAAAAAAAAGATTAGAAAGGGTTTTGTTTCTCATGCAATGCCCTAATTTCAGAAACCTGTATAAATAACCCAACGGTCTTCTTCCATCCTATGCTCTGTTGGCGGCTGAAATTAGGGTTGTGAACTGCTCCAAAATTCTAACTTTAAAGGTATTCTATCATCATCCTGTTACTTACAATATTTATTGAATTTACAGAGTAATTGTTTGATTCTGATTTGATTGTGGCCTCAAGTGAAATTTTTTGTACCCCTATTCAATCAGTGGGGTCAATGTCATTGAAATGAATACTTCTCTAGATTTAAAGAACAGTTTCAATTTATGGATCAGAAAATTGATTTCAGTTTTGTCTGGATGAAGAGGCCCTATTCAAAGGGATGACCTAATGTGGTTTCCCCTCTTCTGTGAACTAGTATTAGGTTTGATTGTTGCACTTTTACCCAGGCTCCATGACCATAGCATTATTGGTTGCCTTATATATGAATGTGCAAAAATAGATGTTGGGAACCGCTTTGCAGCCTAAATTTCTAGTGTTTTGCTGCCAGTATTACCCACACATGATTCAGTAGTTCTGGTCTGTAGATATCCATTGATATCAGTAGAAGAGAAAACTTACCAACTTGAGTTTTTCGTCATAGAGGCCCGATTCTGGAGCAATGGCTTAGATGTAGTTGCCATTAGCAATCTAAGTCAGTAGCTAGTAGTTTCTTGATTTTGTGATCTAGCATTAGGTTTGATAATGCTCTAGACCAAGGCCCCATGACCATCAAATTATTGGGTGCCTAGTCTCAAAGTGCAAAAATAGATGTTGGGATTCACTTTGCAGCTTAAGCTTCTAGTGCTTCTGTTGCCATAAACCCCCACACATGGGTAATTCTTATTTATGTATTCCGTTAATTTCACTGGAACTGAAAAATGATCCACTTGAGATTTTAAACATGAAGAAGCTCAATTCCAAAGGGGTAGCCTTGATGTAGTTGATGCTCGCAATCTAACTCAGTACTCAGTAGCTAGTACTTTGCAGTAGTTCCTCACTCAATCGTGCCAACTAGCATTAAGTTTGATTGTTGCTCTATTACCTAGGCTCCATGACCATCAAATTATTGGTTGCCTAATTTGAATGAGCAAAGATAGAAGTTGGGATCCGCTTTGCAGCTTAAACTTATAATGCTTCTGCTGCCAGTAATGCCCTCACATGCTTCAGTAATGTCTGTGTTTAGTAGGCTCTGCAATCACTTGAAGTGAGGAAATATTAGATAGATTCAAGAATAGTTCAAATGAAGCTGAAGAGAAAATCGCAGTGTCATCTATGATTGCTTTGTTGTTTAAAATGTGGAGCTTATATTGGAATGAAACTAATGAATCCTTTTGCCGTGAGAGTAGTACAAGTTAATTAATAAAGCTGATTTTTTAGAAAGTTGTGAGATTACTTCCGTCATTCCAAGAAACACTTGGTTCCTAAAAATTGTTGATGATCAAGTCTTACCTTTATATGTTTATGTTTTCTGTATAAGCTTGCAGGGTTCTGCAGTGCATGCATCTGAACTTATCCTCTGGTATTAGTGTCGGTTTGTCAAAGCAGGTTTCTTACAAATGCCCTGAGGAGCTGTTGCATTCTGGAAACCGAGCACCTCATTCTCATTGTGAAGAAATCAAATCAAAGAGAGCACTGGTTTTGTTCACAACTTTGGGATTTTTGGGGTCATTCACGGGAAATTGGTTGCGTGTAATTTTTTATTTTATTGTAATTATGCTCGTACTCAGCTGAGTTGTTTTGACTCTATTAGTGATGGATATGAAATGGAAGTGTTTTATTTTAAACTTGTCAATATTTTCTCATTTCTCAACGTTAGCAACTTAGAAGCTTCAAAAGTATTATGTGGAGTTAGAAACATGGCAATACCACTCTGAATTTTGTTGACCGCTTGTTGCTCTCTTCTTTCTTAGCTTTCAAGCAATACAATACTGGATGGAAAATTTGTTTCAATCTTGGTAACCCTTTGGGCTAGTATTATGAGAGTTGGGCTTTTTCGACAAAAGAACACTATTTGCAAACTCCTGCTATTAATTAATTGGTTGAATAAGTCCTTTTGAAAATTTGTCAGAGCGCCATTGCCGCTGCCTTGCTGATAGGAGAACTCTATTAAAAAGTACAGAGGTCATGATGGACCCAGTTTCATTTACCAAACTTGAAAACCAGAACGTGATGATAGCCACAAATATGCTTGAGCTCAATGCTTTTATGAGTAGAACAATTATTGGGTTCACTCTATTCTTGTACATTTATTTTTGTCTGTAAACATAATGGCACTGTGGACCATTATCATTTATCAAAGTTCTCACTGAAGTTTCAGGGATCTTTGTGTTGTTTGTTGGCATGAAATGAAAATTAGAAAGTGATTTCCTTTCAATTTCATTTATTAAACAAAATTAAGCGATAGTATATTATTGATAGACAAACAAAAGTACAAAGTAATTATGTGTTGAATATGAGTAAAACTTCTCCAGTGATCAAACACAACAACATGTTGAATTGTTCAAGAAAGAATCGCATAGCAATTTCAATTTAACTTTGTGATTCAATTTTGAACCGATTGGGGGCAGGCATTTATGGCATTGAATTGGTGTGAAGTTTGAAAGCAGTACAAACAAAGAGATGGGATTTTTTTGCAGTGAAGAAGTTGTATAATTGTGTGAGAAAGGAAGTATTTTTCAGTTTACGGTTGATGCAAACCACATGCTCAAAATACAGACAGGGGCTGCTCTGCTCTCATTTAAGACGCACGGTTGGCTGCAGTCGAGGCGATTAAAGACCCATGTGAATTGCCAAGTGCATTACACACTGAAATAAATGTTCATGTGCATAAATCTACAGCAAAATTAGAAATAGAAATTTCACTGAAACAGAATGAAGGATATGTCTCTGCTTGCTGATATCTAAAAGTGTGGCCCAAAATTCACCATTGCTTGCTCCTCTCCTTCCACACTGATCCACAGCTTTTAAGTTTCAACACAGCCTGGCTCTTCCTTATCCTTTGAAATTGAATTATTGGAAAATTAACAGTTGATTTCTCATTTTCCTCGTGTACCCTAAACGACATTACTATGGCATGCGGCTATGGGGACTTTTGAGCCACATAATAATAATATTGTGCTTTACTTCATTCACCATCAAATTATTGATCACATATCTTTTATCTATTTACATTAAAAACCTATTTTTACGAGGCCGCCCGATCAATAATTAATATGATCAATAAATATGATACGTACTAATCATGTAGATAAGTCGTTTGACATGACTGGTGGGGAGTGGGGAATTGGCAATAGGTCTTATTGAAGCTGTGAAATTCCACCGACAAAACAGAGCAGGATAGAGTTTTTTTTTTAATGGGGTTAATTGGGTTTGTGAAGGAAAAAGGATTTATATTGGTGATGTTAAATGTTGAGTGTTTAAATGCATGGCTTGAGAGATCTCCTATGTAGGTGAAACTGAGTGGCATTTAAATGAAGCTACCTTTTTTCTGGTCCACATTCTGTCAAGTCTTTACTCTCAACTCTCACTGGGTCAATTTGGCACTAATTTAGCATTGTTGCTTGTTGACCTTTCAATTCAATCTTACTTTAAAACCCAACTTATAAAGTTCAATTAAGGTTGTGTTATTTTCTAATCTTATCTTAAAACCCAACTTAAACCTCATAAATATATGATTGTTTTCTCATGTGTGCCTCGTAAATACTAGTCATCATAGAAGAATATATTTTAATTGATATTTATTTTCTTTGATTTATTTGATCAAATATAAAGTGTGTGTAGTGAATTCCATCAAGGCATCATCTTTTTCATGATTTGTCTCACCAACTACACTAGTAGTATGATATTTTCTGCTTTCAAAACTGGACACGTTGAAGATGTATCAACCATTCATTTGATTAGCCAATGCCCCATCAAAGTTTTAAGTTTTAAAGCTGCATCAAATTCAACTTAACCACCATTTCTTTTTCTAATGCTTAATTATGATGTCATCGATCTTTGATGTTTCAAGATATTAAGCATATACCAATTAACTCTCACAAAAGGACAATCAAAAGGAGTTGGTCCAAGTGGAAGGGGCTTGGATCCTTTAAACAAGAGGTCCTGGGTTCGATCCCAGGCGCTTGCGAATAGAGCAAACTTTGTTGGGAGAGGTCCCCGCTTTGCGCCCGACAGTACCTCGAGGGTTAGTCCCCGCAATCGCGCGGGGGATACCTTGGTTTTCACCAAAAAAAGGAAATAATTATGCAGAAAGAAAGCAACCAGTTGAAGCGCATGTTTTAAAATCAGCATCAGCAAGGTTTGTTAAATTAATGAAATTAGCAGACCTTAAATGCCTACAAGTGACATTATACCAACGAACACACATGCAATCAACCATCGGGACCGGGAGAAATCCCCCTTCCCTATAGTTTAGACTATCGCTTGTACTAAGAAAAAAAACCATTGGGACAGGGAGAGTGATCCGTTCAGAAACTTCAGAGAAAGAAAAATGAAAAACAAGCATCACCAATCTTCATATGTTGTTTGTTGGAACTGTAATGCAGCAACATTTTCTTTTTATTTTTTATTTTTTTACAATGAAGATACTTGAGGGATTCCAATAAGTAGGTATGAGGTTCAACTCTTCTACCAAAATCCAGTTAGTTTTTCTTTTTTCAATTTGAACACTGATTTGTTATCCATCTCACAGCAGCAATAAATTTTTTTTTAATGCCACCGCCAGGTTAGATGGAAGAGGAAGAGTACACTTAGGAAATTGACAAGAATGTAGGCTTTCTAGGTCAATATCTTTTATCTCTACAAGTTACCCATTTTTGTATATTAGTATCAAAACTGAGGTCATCAAAATCTGGTTTTGATTTTGATTATGTTTTCAGTTTCCATTTTCATTTTGGTGCATTGATGTTGTGATTGTAGAGTACATGCTAGTTGACCTACTTGCCTTTAGCTTTCTTTTGCAATTATGAATTGTGTTTCCTGTTAATCTGCAATACATGCAAGTTACAACTAAGCAAAAGGAGATAGGAAAGGGGGACAAACTATTTCTGAAAAGGAGAATTTGACATCAAACCAACAGCAAAAAAGTCTATCATAAAAGATTCTTTTATTGGACATAAACATAAATATAAATGTCCTTTGTAGTTCTTAAGTAGAAAAAAATATAAAGAAAAGACACAGAAGTTTCTTCAGGTAAAAGTAAAAGCAAAAGCACTTAGTCTCTCGTTCACTTTACAACAATCAAAAGCCATCAGAATTCAGAATGAAACAAGTTGAAAGGGTGAAGTATTAACATTTGATGTGAGAGCTACAGCCAAAACTGTAATTATTTGCTTTCACAAGAATACAAAGCATGCATGCATGTCAAGCACATTTTATTACAATTTTTTTGGGGGGTACGAACTAGCCTATGAACATTGCAAAAGCAACCAAAAACTGCCTTGCCAATAGCATTCATCCTCCTATATATCACATGATCATGAAATTCAGACTTGTAATTCATTGACATGATTGGCAATTTGATCCCCAATCAGTTCTTCAAATCATCACTAACTCAAACTCTTTTGGTGCACTGTTGTGATTAGAACATTGGAGAGTCAGATGGAGAAGAATTCACCAAATTGAGAATACTATTCCAGTAATTCTTATTATCCTCATAGTAGTCACTACCACTTCCACTTCCACTGCCACCACCATTATCAGAGTCTCCGCGGCTGCCGCGCTCGCCATCTGACAAACTCTGTACTTCATCAGAGTTGTTAAGCAAAAGATCAGTGAACCCTTCTTGATCTGCCATGTCCACATTACTACTAACTCCTCCTCCTCCTCCATGATGATGATCATGAACCTCACCAGTCCATGCCCCTGCTTCCAGAGACATTGTGATGTGATCATGAAGCCCTGAAGTGAAAGACAAATGGGATTTCCAATCTTGATCATGATCACCTTCTTCTTTGGTCTCAGATGAACCTGAGGACCCCACAAACTCAATCATAGGCTGCATGATTGGAGGCATCACAACTGCTGATGCTGATGCATTTACATTAATCTGCTCAGAAGAATTATAAGTGAGTGTAGAAGTTGGAGACTCAAGATCAACATTAGATGATTTTGACGCTGGCCATCCACCACCAACATTCCAACCTTTAAACACATCCAAAGACCTTGCAGCAGCAGAAGGCATAGGCACCATTGATGATGAAGACTCCATCTTGTTGCTTGGGCTGCTTGTGAGCTGATGGATTAATGAACTGTGGGAACGCAGCTTGGATTCTCTGACAAGCCGGGCTTCGGCTTCGAGGCGAGCGCTCTCCCATTGCGCCATGTGGCTGAGGTTGGAGGCGTTCTTGGACTGACCGTCGACGGTGGAGAGTAGGGCATCGTTCTTTGGCTTGTGCGTGACGGGGTCGATGCCCATTTTGGCTAGCCTCTTCTTAAGATGCGTGTTCCAGTAGTTCTTTATCTCATTGTCTGTTCTCTTTGGCAAGTGAGTTGCTATGGCCGACCACCTGATCACCAAAGCCCAACACAACACGACAGAGTTGAGCATCAAAACTATGAAAACCCCAAGAGAAAAATCATAAACTACATCGATCCATCCATTTTACTAGCATCTTTTCATTTCATTAATATATATATTTGAAGAGAATTTCAAGAGGAGAGGACCCTTTTCATTTTAAATAATAGACTTGGATGTCAGAAGCAGTAAATGATACATGAAAAATGGTCGCAGAGGTCAAAACTTTGAATAGATGATTAGGTTAGAGAGTGAGTGGTTGGTTGAAGGTACTTGCTTGCGAGAGCACCACATTAATTCAAAGCATCTCATAATTCAACCAAATACTCAGGCAAAATATGGTTTTGCAGATCAAAAGCATCACAATTAT